TCTTGCAATGGTATAGATTTAATCTTAGTGGAATTTGAATAATGAATTATTAAAAGAACAGTGAGAATGGATCAGAAGAAGGTCAGAGTGCTGGGTGCCATTTTTTAACACAAATGTTAAGGTGTAGTGTAACACCCTGATCCTGCCACCAAAATGATTTGTATAGGGCTTATGCTCAACAGATCTGTATACCAAGCTGACAGCCAATTATAAATCCCTTTCATTGGGTTTATCATTCTAGTAAATTAATTTATTTTTAAAAAAGGCTGACAAAATGTTAACTATGACAGCCCCTCTGGGGCTGCTGTAATAAATCTTAACCAGTGGTGTCAAGGGATTGAAAATACACCTGGTGCGCAATGCCTGTAAAATGCTTTTGTCACTGTTGAAGAACAACTCTGGCAGTAATCCAAGGTGTGTCCCTCTGTTGGAAAGACTATTGCTAGTGCACTGATTAGAGACTGCAGTCAAAATCAGGCATAACTTGCCTGTGGGTGTGTTTCTTCACTGTCCCCAACCTGTCTTTTACACACTACATACAGGTGGAAGGTCGCCTTATCAGCTGTACACTTGGCTGGCCTGCAGCACGTGCCAGCTTGTAATATTCAGGGGTTTGGTTTTTTTTAAGTTGACTGTTTCAAGTCTGTATCATTCATAACATCTGATGAAGAAAGATGTTGCTTGTATAAGTTCATGCCTCTCTAGTGCCACTCTGGTGCCTGTTTCAAGCCTGATGCTTGTTGAAATCAGACAGAGATTTGCCTGAGTGAGGATTGCAGGCTTTGCCTCATCGTTAAATTCCTCTGAAATCACCAGATGGCTACTTTGGAAATCATGAGCAGTAGAACCATCCTTTTCATAGTTGCATGCCATTCCTCCCTCACCCCACAGCAATCAAACCTTTTGCTAAATTCAGAAAATTAGGCTGGACTGATCTAAATGCAAGCTGGCACCAATGTAGTTGAATGGCTATTAATTTACATCTCGTTATTTTTGTCCAAGGTAACCCAGCGCTTGTGTGGACCCCTTTATTTTGGGATCGGGGTCCTGTTTTGATTTGTGTTTAACTGAGTAAAATATTAAACTAAGCTAGTTAGACATAGGGTATTTTTATTCTAAAGCAAGTGCCCGCATCCTGACTCTCACCAAAATAAAGACAAGGTAGGAACTACAAATCATTTGGGCACTAGACCGTGTGTGTGACCAGTCATCATGTGATTCTTCTCTCCATGTTTTGGGGGTTATAGCTTTATTGTGTTGGTGAAAGATATGAGGCCTGTGCTGTTCTTACCTTATTGTTCCCTGCTTGCTTGTCAAAACCTGTCACTTGCTGGGAATGTTTTAAAAATGGTGGACTCAATAACTGCCCTTGGAGCCAGCAGTGTGCCAGGAAGGAAGCAAGCAAAAACTTTCCATGCAGGGGTGCCTGACAGGTGGTGTTATGCCCACGTGTACAGGATGTTTCTAGGGAGCTGGAGAGCAAACAGAGCAGCTGCTGCACCTTTATAGATGATGTTGTGCTTGCTTCCACAAGCACTGCACTCCCAGAGCTGGTACAGGGCCAGGGACATGTCTCTGCTTGGACAGGCCCCCTGGGGATTGTGCGGCTCCGGTGTCTATGCTGCCCCTCCTCCCCCCTCATGCTCTAGGACTATGGGCAGGGCTGGATTAATGCATAGGCAAGCTAGGCACATGCCTAGGGCCCTAAGTAAAGAAGGGGCCCAGTAGTGCTTATTTTACGTATTGTAATTATTGGGTAAAAGAAAAATAATATAAGCATTTCTTCTTCAGCTGGGGGCTCATGAGTTTGTTTGCCTAGGGGCCTCTAAAGGGTTAATTTGGCCCTGACTGGGCAGTGGCAGCTTGGAGCAGAGGGACTCTTTTGTACTGGCCTGCAGGCAGAGAAGCATTAATAGCAGGGGAAAGTTTGGCGTATAAGTGGGTTGATCTTCCTCTGAAACAAAGATTTCTTACTAAGGAATCATAGCAGCAATTTGACATACCTGCAGACTGCAGGGCAGTGCAGAGATACTTGAACAAGCTTTGGGTGCCAGAAACAGTCTATTCAGAGTAGCATTGAGCTAATTATGCTGCCAAAATAAGATGTAAATTAGCCCATGTGGAGATGAGTGCTGCTGTGGCTGGGCAGCTGTATGAATTAACTCATTTAAACCTCTTCGCTACACTGCAGTCTGCATCATACTTGGTGTTCCAGTGGTCTCAGAGTGTCCTCTGCGAGACATATTGCCACTTTCACTGGCCTTGAAGCCTGCTATAATGCATGTGTCTGGGTTCCATCCTGGTCAATTTAGAGGACATTTCAGAGGCTGCATCATCAGGTTTTGCTGTGCCAACAGTGCAAATCCATATTTGCATTCAAAAATATACTTTGTGCCTGCATACAAGTCCTGTGGGCTTCATAGTAGAGTTGAAACTAATTGACCCTCTATTTTGGGGTCAAGGCTAAGATCTCTGCTCAAGTACTGTTCCCTAACACAGGTGGTTGTTTCCCCACCCATGCCTGCCAATAAAAACCTGTTATAATAGTTTGCCCCTAACTGACACACAACTCTGGGGGAGTGTAACTCTTCCTGTACCACAGCTAGCCCTTAAAGGCAGAGAGGTAACAAGAGCAACTTGTAACACTGAGTGTTGCAGAGCTGACTGCAAGAAATGCAGTTGTAATATTCTTTGCCCTTTTTGCGTAAAGTTTAGATTGAGCCATAAATACTAGCGGTGACTTTTGAGCTTAGACTTACCACAGAAGTCAAAGCAAGTTTTGCCAGGAGTTCATCTTTGAACTTGGTATCCAGGTTGTAGCCGTATTGGTCTAGAGGAAAAAGCAATCGGGGCTTGTGGACAGAAGTGGTATCACTTATTAGATTTCATAGATTTCATAGACATCAGGGCTGGAAGGGACCTCGGAAGATTATCGAGTCCAGCCCCCCGCCCAAAGGGCAGGAAGTCAGCTGGGGTCATAGGATCCCAGCAAGATAAGCATCCAGTTTCATCTTGAAGGTGTTCAATGAAGGCGCTTGAACCACCTCCAGTGGCAGGGCTGTTCCAGACCTTGGGAGCTCGGACAGTAAAGAAATTCTTCCTTATGTCCAGCCTGAAACGATCTTGAATTAAGAAGATTTTTGCAAAAAAGTCTTTAATTGCAAGCTTTTGGGCACAAATACCGTTTACCATCTTTTCTCTGATGCCTGATAAAAGTTCTCCTGGGTAGAAATGAAAGTATTTTCATGGCTGGTAGCCACAGATGCTTTCTAGCCTGTCTTACAGCGCCCTCTGGTGTGTGCAGCAACTGACAAAGATCAGACTTTTCAGGATGCATGGCACTTTGCTTCCTTTGTTAGTTCTTTTACTGTAGGCATTATTATTTGCTGAGCACTGAGAACAACATACTTTGTGCCTCACAGTTCCTAGAGGTAAGTACTGTCCAGCCCCAAGCAACTTACACTGTATCACATCACTGTACTAATAATCTGGCAGCATTTCTTTCCTAGACAAGATTTAGCACGTGTAGTGCATGAGATGGGACACTTTGTTCCTATAAATGCTCCAGACACATGCTTGCAATTGCACTCTGGTCAGTATGTTTTAGTTGAAAATGCTGACTACTGTTTTCTCTCAGAATTTGCTGAGTTGAGGCAGGCATCTGGTTTTGTAATACTTTCTCCTCATCTGAATGGAGAGGCAGATCTGCTGTTAGATTAGACTACAGCTGCAAAGTTTTTTATGCTTAACAGAGAAAGTGGATTGTAAAGAGACAAAATTAAACAGTTTAAAAGTAAGTAAAATAAGCTGTTTGCTCTGATGAAAGAGAGCGTACTTAGAGGAAGAAGTAACAGAGATGGAGTGGGGGGAGGAGGTGTATTTTGCTGCAGCAGTACTTCAACTATGAGGAACTGCAACAAGCTACCAACCTATACATGTAAAATATGTAACGCATGTAAACTTTACTAGATGCAAAGTCCTTTATTTGGAGCTATGGGATCTTGTCTGCCTAAGGATTCCTTGGTTTTAAAACAGTTGAAGAAGTGTGGAAGCAATAGCTGAAAGTGCTATTGGAGACTAGATGCTGACCTGTTTTGTCACTGTGGTATCTAACTCACCTGGGGCAGATCCAGATGATATGCTGGGTTGCAGGAAGTAGTTCTATTTAATTTGAAGAAAGGGTGATTAAGGGTGGGGGGATGTGAAAGCAAGGCTGGAGGCTTTCAAAAAGACATTTGGTAGATGTTATTTAGGATAATTTAGGAATTGCAAATCCCTCTGTGCAGTGTTGCACTAGATTAGATGATTTATAGAATCAGAAGGGACTCCAAAATGCCACCTCTGGGTAAGGAGTGCCACTGGAAAATTTGAAGAAATAAAACTTAGTACAGATTATCCTCTCCAATACCTTCCTCATTCCTTTCCTGTGTATCCCCAACCACCACCACCAGTTGCTTCCAGTGTGAGTCAGCAAACTACCCTTGCTGCTCTACACAGGATCCTAGAACTTCCTTTCTTGTTTGGTTTCTGAGGCCTGGCTTTAAACTGTATGCTGTGTTTTGTTTGATGGCAAGGATATTGAGACTTGTTAACAAACCGTATAGCTTCATGGAACATGCAGTTCCCTGAATTGAAACCAGTCTCATCACAACCCCGATTAGATTATGAGGAAGGCAGGCAGATGCGCGCTGTATAGATTAATTACGAATTATGCATGTCATGTATCACAAATAGATTATGAAGACCATGGGACTGTCACTAGCAGAAAAAATACAGTTAATGATATTTGGGGATTCGAATGGTCAATAGCATTCAGCCCAGTCATATTTGTATTTTTGTGCATGTGGCAACCTCAGTTCTGGAGCCGCTCCATCATGCATGGCGCTGTGCTAATATAGAACAGTAAGACTGTTTCTGCCCCCAGTGCATCTCTGTTACCAGTTTTTGCTAGTATTTTTTCCATCTACCGATCAGTTTCCTCTCCCTGTGTTTTCCCTTAGGTCGAAAACTGAGAGGAAAAGCCTTTTATTTTGTCAATGGAAAGGTGTTCTGCGAAGAAGACTTCTTGGTGAGTGTGCTGCTCTCATAGGTCTCTCCCTTCCCTCGGTTCTTGTAGGCTGTGTGGAGGAACAGCTGCATAAAAGGTGATTCATGGAGCTACAGAGCTGGTATTTGAACCAGTGAAGTCTAGCAAGCAGCATTCACTGAAAGGGCATCAGGCCACATGCTGGGGATAGGTGCTCGATAGATAGATGGCTAGATAAAGAGTGGGCGAACCGGGTTTCCTCTTCAGTGGACTGACCTTGATCAGACATTTCTGAGAGACATGAGATACCTCATGTGCTGTGGACAGAGTAGAAGTGCCTAAGATACTTATTAAATACCTATGTGATTTGTATAACAGCACTTAGGAGCAGCAGCATTTAGACTTTTGGCTCTTTTGCTTGATGGGCTCTGTGCTATAGAAGCAGAGCACTTGGGACCCAATCCAGAGTCCATTTAGGTCATTGATTTCAGTGGCCTTTGGATCAAACCCTTTTGTGAAAAGTCTGGGTCCAGACTTTGGGAAAGCTTTGATTTTTAAGCAGTACTTGGATCCTTTATCAAGAGGTGACTCCACACAGACACGTGGGTGGCTCAGAAATGTAGTAATAGACTGTAACAATGATAGAAGTTCCCATGGCCTGTTTGATTTTTCCTTGCTCTTGGGACAGGGCCAGGAGAGCTCACTGAAAAACACAAAGAAAAAAAAAGTATGAAAAACAAAGACATGTCAATAAATATGTCCTGTAGACTTCCAAAAGGTTAATTTTTAAATCTCCTGAAGTGCCCCCTTATTGAGCAAAGTTACCCATCTCTATTGAGGAAAAGGGGAATTAAATTTTCTTTCTCTTACTTAGGAACAATAGGTTTCATTAAGCCAAGCACTGAAAACGGGAAGTCCAATTAAATACATTTGAAATACTCACTGGACCTGATTCTTCTCTATTGCACTAAGGCCCCCTCTATGTATATGTTTTATGCAATTACCTGGTAACTGGCAATTAATTTAAACTGGCTATGTGTGCAAATTAACCATAGCACCTTAAAAAGATCCAATCAGCTATAATGTTTTTGCTGGAAAATGTGTAATGATTTTATAGCTGGTTTCTATCCAGCTTTATTTTGCATGCGTAGCCTGTGCCCCCACAGCTGGGAACCCCTTCAGTTGATCGGAGCTTCCATCTGTAGGGGCCCATGTGCAACCCTGAGCCCACCTGTTGCTGCTCCCAGTCACAGCAGCCTGTTCACCCCACAGCTGAGAGTCTCACCAGCTGATAGGACTCCCAGCCACAGGGGCCCCCATGTACCAGTCCAGCTGGGAGATCATAGCTGCTGTGATCTCCCAGCTATGGAGATGCATGAGGCACCTGAGGGGGCTTCCAGCCACAGGAGCTTGCTTTTTGCCAGTGCAGGCTCCCCTTGCAGCATCAGTAAGGCACGATAGGATCTGATTTGCAATCCCACAATCATGCCTTCTGCTTTGCATTTGTAATATGGCAGGAGGTGCAATTGTATGGATTGTGCATTAGATCCCATTGTGCCTTTATCTGCGCATGCAGAGGGGCCCTAAGGTCCCTTTCTACCTCTATGGCAGTGTAAACTTTCCAACTAGATAGAAATTGTGGTTTGTGCTAGAGTGGTATAAATGTGGCCATGAATAAATGAGAATCCAGCCTATATGTTTAATTCTTGGCAAAAAATCCAAATTTTATTGAGCTGTACTGAAGTAATGCCAGGATAGTTCCACCAACTTCAGTGAAGTTGTGTCAGGTTTACTGAAGATATACTACAGCTATCCTGATGATTTACTATAGGTATAACTGAAGGGAGAATTTGTCCCTTCAAAGTTAAATTTCTGAGCTGAATGAGATTATGATCCAGATAAGTCAGTACCCTCTTTATATGCAACTAACATATAAATTCATGGATACCCAATGTGTACACCCATGATCAAATTAGCATCTGTTCTTTACCAGTAAATACATGATTTACTTGTATATATCTGGTATCTCTATGTGTTGAGTTCAATTAAAAATTTAAAGACTTGAGTGTTTGGGAACTTGGGCACCCCCCAGACTCAGAGAATTTAAGACGGAATTCAGTTTTGCCTATTGGACAACTAAAATGCAACTTGCAATGTAATTTTGAGTTAACCAAGTGATGTGTAGGAGAGATTATGTTACCCCCTCTGGGCTCATAAGTGTCCCTGTTATAGGAATTGGATTACCCTCTGAAGACGCACAGACATATTGTTATTGCTACAATTGGGGCACTTATATACCTAGAAGTAGAGTCACTCATATACTTTAGTTAGGTAACTCAGAGTTAGTCTCATGGTACACTTCCATTGTCTGCTAGGTCAGTGGTTCTCAACCTTTTTTTGTACCAGAACCCATTTTTAAACATTGGTCAGTCCCAACCCAGTGCTCTTCACCAACCCACTGCCCCCGATTCCCAAGTCCTAGCCCCACAGTGTGTGGGGTGGGAGTGTGGGGTGGGAGGGGGGGCCCAAGCAGCCCCTTCCACGCTGGAACTCTGCCAGCCTGCAAGGGAAAACCAGTTTCCCATCTTTTTTCTCCTTTAGAAGATAATCCATTTTTAAAGTTTTTTCATGACCGTTTCATATATTCTTGCAACCCACAGGTTGAGAAACATTGTACTAGATTAAATAGATTTCTGCCCCTAGGGCCTTTGACAGAACCTTATGCAATACTCCCTATCCACATAAAACAAACTGGAAATTTTGCTTGAGGGGAGGAGTGCTGAAGAGAACCAGGTGGATCATTCACCCTAGTATATACTTGTTTCTCCTCTATCCAGCCTTGTAAAATTTTAAGCCAATTATTTTTTTTCTTGCAGTATTCTGGTTTCCAGCAGTCAGCTGACAGGTGTTTCATTTGTGGCCATTTAATAATGGACATGGTAAGTGCTGCCTATATGTGGGGAGGGGAGGGGATTGGCATTCTAGAATAATGGCTCAAGGGCAATTAAAATCCATGCACCATGTTACCTGATTTAGTTTACTCATCTAGCTGGTATGCACAAGACTTGTGACAGATCAAGACCCTGGTGCCTCTGTCACTGGAAGGAAGAAAAACTAGCACCTTTTTGCATATATTGTATGCATATATTATCTGTTAAAAACGTACTTTGAAAAGCAGTCTGTGTAAAAACACACTGACTGACTTACCTTGACCTTCTGTGAAAATCTGTTGTGAACTTGCAGAGGATGATCTTGTCCACACTTTTTGCATAGAAGCCCAGCTCTGTGGTAATTGCCTCTTCCCACTATAGGCTGGGGTTGGACCATATCATCTGCTGAGCCTGATTTCCTTATATCCAGTCTAACTGAAGCACTTTGGGTGTTGATAATAAGTGCATTTAATCCAAAATGTGAGTTAAACCTTGGCTTAAGTTTAAAATAGCATAACAGAATTACGTGTAGACCACTTCAGCAGAAAGTTCTCACCAATGTCCAACTAATACGAATGTGAGATCGGAGCATGGGTTCATTTAGCCTCAAGTTCTGTTTTAGGTAGCACCCAATATTAGTGTTTCAGGGGAAGACAAAATCATAATGAAATGAGTCTGTTATATAAAATGGATAATTCCTAACAGTTGCTTTATGTCACTGTCCTGAGATTTAATTGTGGATGTCATCCTAGTTTGCATAGCTACACTAGAAATTATTTAAAGATCATAAATTTACCCAGTCCTTTCTAAAACATGGCTGCCTGTGTTGTTGGGTCCAATACAGGAGTTACTGGGTGAAGCATCCTGGCCTGCATTCTGTAGATCAGGCAACATAATGATCCCTTCTAGCATTAGAATCTAAGCACCTGTGAAAGTCTGGCTGTGTAGGGTTTGTCTCGGCTACTTGCAAGAGAGCAGAGGGAGGTATTTTATTTTATTCCCTCTGTGTTTGCTTCCAGTAATTTTTGCTGCATGCCCCTTTAGCCTTATGTTTTAGAACAGGTTTTAAAGGAAAAATCAGTGACTTTTCCCTTTTATTTTTTCATTCCAAATAACCAAATTGTTATCCACTAGCTCTGTTTCTTTTTCCACACACACAATCCTAGCCTTGGGAATTTGTGATCTTCTGACTCCAATATGCCCTTGTCTGAACAAAATCTTTCTTTGCTAAATCATTCTTAAAATGAGATGGTTAAAATAAGACAGAGTCCTTCTGGTGACAGTGCACCTCTATCTGTAATGTTATGTGTATGTGAATTTTTTCCCTTTAATGTCTGTTCATGAGCTCTCTCCTGTTTCTTGGTTTATTGCAGATCCTGCAGGCTCTAGGGAAATCATACCATCCAGGCTGCTTCCGTTGCGTGATCTGTAATGAGTGTCTGGATGGAGTGCCCTTCACTGTAGACACAGAAAACAAAATCTACTGTGTCAGAGACTACCACAAGTAAGAACAAAACACAGAAAAGTTGAGCCTGTCAAAAAACCTCTCATTTGCCTTTCAAAGTAGTAAGGAAAGATGGGTTATTGGAGTGAACATGGGACTGCAGAATGGATGTAATATTTATCTACCTTACAGGGGCAGTGTGAGGTTCAATCACTTGGTGTCTATAATGGTTAAGATCTGCAAGTCAGCCCTTCTGAAATCAGTGGGAGATGCACTCAGTTACAGCAGGGCCTGGATTTGGCTTTTTAAGTGATTAAAAAGTTGATGCTGGACATGGCGGAGGGATTCTTAGCCAGCTTTTTGTTCAATAAATTAAACAAGTGATAAATCCACTTGTAAATCATTAATATTAAGGAAACTAAATGGCTGCCATCAGTGATGCTATTAGATCTACATGCACTTTGACCTGTCTGCTTAGAATTACGTGCAACTGTTATTACAAAATGTTGCAAACTTCTTTGTGGATGCTTGTGCATTCCAGAGAAAGCAAAGTGTTAAGAGTAACCCTCAGAAGCAGGTTCTCTGAAGTCTTTAGTCTGAGGTGATAGATTTCACTGTTTTGGGGAGCTCCAGCTATTCAAGCCCATCAGTATATAAAAGACATCAAAGTTATTTTTTAATGGATTGAGTATAGTATATATGTAGTTCAGTGACTCGCATTCATGAAAAATTTACAGACTAGTCCCTGGGACTTATGTTTTAATGTATAAAGCTTCACCACAGATTGTGCAGCTATCAGGCAGTTGGAAGTGTAGGTGGTGGCATCTGGTTTTGTGTAAACAATGAAGTAGTAGACACTTAGAATGAAAAGCTTCTACATCCCTACCTTTGCATATAAAGGGAGAACCACAAATTGTGGAGACAAACCACAGATAGTAATCTACCTGTTAGAACATACAGCTAGGCAACTTGCCTTTTATTTCTCATTACTCTTTTAGAGTTTTGGCTCCCAAGTGTGCAGCATGTGGACATCCCATTTTGCCATCTGAGGTAAGAACCATTTATCCTTTACATTTCTTTGTGTTCTGGGGAGACTGCTCTGTCTCAATGAACATGCTATTTTCCGTTCCACGTTTAGCTCTGCCTCTGTTGGAATGGCCTCCTGGCTCAGGAGAGCTGAGAAATACTTCCTCCAGAGCGCTGCTCTCACAGCAGTGTCAGCCTCTGTTGGTCCAAGACTAAATAATTCCTTTGCTTGATTACGTGGATTATTTCATTGACCAGGCTGAACTTTTCATTTCCTCCAAGATTTTGTTGCTTTTCCATGATTAGGTTGGCAGCTGTGTAGCTCAGTTGGTAGGGTGACAATCACTTGGACTGTAAGGATGTGACTTTGATCCCAAGTGAGGGTGGTGGGTTTCCACTCATTGTTTCCAGTTCTAGTACAGTCCTGAGGTCCGCCCAGCCTCTTATCCAGTGACTTATTCATAGAAATAATCTCTCGGTGAAACCAGTTAAAAATTCTAACCCCTTTTCAGAAATGTGGAATATTGAAGGGGTATGAATACTCCTTGCTAATACTATATCAATTTGGGATTGACCTGACTAGAAATCCTATAAATTATAGTGAAGTAGGGCTGGAAGGGACCTCCAGAGGACATCTAGATTCATAGATTCATAAAAGTTAGGGGCTGGAAGGGACCTCATGAGATGATCAGGTCCAGCCCCCCTGCTCTAGGCAGGAAAGTAAAAGACTAGTCCAATCCCCTGCCTGAGGCAAGATCATCCCTATCCAAACCAATCTAAACTCTTCGTAAGGCTACCGTAAACCCTGAGACAAACAACGTAAGACCTTCCCCCTGCCACGGGTAAAGCGGGGGAACCATGGCAGCCAATGTCCTGCTTCTATAAAAGGTTGTTAATATATGCTTGAGAGATCCCAGGTAGGGGGCCACACTCCTTGCTACAGAGGAAGGCAAAAACCACTACAGTCCATACCAATCTGACCATGGAGTAAAATTCCTTCCTAACCTCAGAAACGCTGATCAGTCTGACCCTGAGCGGAGGGGCAAGACCCTCTAGCCAGGAACCTCTGGCTTGAAGTTCCAGCAGGAGCATTGGCATACCCCTGTCAAAATCCCCAGTCTTGGCTGCAGCCAACACCCAGTGCCTCTGAAGGAGGCTTAAAAACACCTTGACACATGTAGCAGAAAGGGCAGGGCGGGGGAGGGGGAGCAGATGGCAAAGTCTAGAAGTATGGGAGTATGTTATGCCTAGACCAGGGGTGGGCAAAATATGGCCCGCAGGACCATTCTATCCGGCCTGTGGGGCCCCTAAAAAATTTAGAAAATTAATATTTATCTGCCTTTGGATCCTGTCAAAAATGACAGGAAATAAGGGCAGTAGGACCCAGGGGAAGCCCTGGCAGGCTTCCACAGCAGGGGCTTCTGGCCTTGGAGCATATGGCTGCCTGGCCGGAACCTCAGGAGGAGGTAAGGCAGGGGGAAGGGCAGGGGAGGACCCCAGGCAGGGAAGGAGCCCAGAGAGAAGTGGCCTGGGGAAAAGCTGAGCGGCGGTGGGGGGGAGCAGCCCCTCCCCCTCCCTGTGGCCAATGCCCCGTGCTGCAACTGCTCGCAGCCCACGTGGGGCTGTTCAGAGCAGGCATAGGCAGCCCCACAGCAGCTGCAGTGTGGGGCACCAGCCATGGGGCGGAGGAAGGGCCGCTTCTCTCCTCACCGTGCTCAGGTTTTCCCTGGGCTCCTTCCCAGCACGGGGAAAAGCGGCCCTTCCCCTGCCTCGTGGCCAGTGCCCTGTGCTTCAGGTGCTCACAGCCCACGTGGGGCTGCCTGTGCCTGCTCCAGACAGCCCCACGCAGGCTGTGAGCAGAGCGGGGCGGGCGAGGGGCCACTTTTCCCCTGCTGCGCTCAGTCACCACCTTGTAACCCAGCCCCACTGCCAGCCTGGGCCCCGCACCGGCTCCAGGCTCGCCCATTGGGGCTGCACATGGCGACAGCAGCTGCAGCCCCTGCAGTTGCCACATTGCCTGCAGCAGGGAGCACCAGCTATGCAGCGGGCGAGTGGCTGCTTTTCCCCATGCTCAGCCCAGCTTCTTCCCTGCCGGTGAGCAGGGGGTCAGGGCTGTGCGCTGCCTGTACCGTAGGGCTGGGGGGGCACTGGGAGTGAGGAAGTGCGAGAGCCAGCGACCTGTCCCCTGGGGCCAGGGCTGATGGGGCGCCCAGAGCAGGGTGGCAGGAGCGCAGGGTCCCAGCTGGCAGGGGCTCTATGGAGCCGGGCCAGCTCCCCCCTCTCCCTGCTGGTGTAGCCCAGTCTGGCTCCACAGACCCCTGCCAGCCTGTTCCCTGCTTTGGGCCCCATCAGTGCTGGCCCTGGGACATTGGTCCTAAGACATTGGGGCATTGGTCCCAAGATGGTGACCAGGGGGCAGGGCACCTGTCAAGGGGTGGGGCTACCCATGTGGCCCTTGACAGCCTGCCAAAACTGGGTAAGCAGCCCTCTGTCCGAAATAATTGCCTGCCCCCTGGCCTGGAGTCTAGACCATCCCTGACCAGTGGCTGTCCAACCTCTTCTTGAACACCTCCAGTGATAGCAAGTCCACAACTTTCCTAGGCAATCTGTTCCACTGCCTCATTACTCTTAACAGTGAGAAAATTCTTCCCAATATCCAGCCTAAACTTTGATGCAACTTCAAGCCATTGGTCTGTGTCCTTCTCTGCAGCAAGAGCGACAAAGTGCTTTCCTTCTTCTTTATGGCAGCCCTTCAGGTATTTGAAGACTGCTATCGAGTACCCTGTTATATGCCTTTTGCACAAACTGAATGTGCCTAGCTCCTTCAGCCTCTCCTCATATGACTTGCTTTCCAAGATTTTTTTATCCTGTTCCCTGCCTCTGGACCATCTTTAACTTCTCCATGTCCTTCTTAAAACATGGAGCCCAGACTGCACATAATCCTCTGGATGAGACCCAACCCATATCTTGCACTTAATGCTTCTTTTGATACATCCCAAAACTGCATTTGCCATTTGTGTGGCTGTATCACACTGCATACTCATATTAAGTCTGTGATCTACCAAGACTCCCAGAACCTTCTCCATAGTGCTGCCATCCAGCCAGGTGTCATCCGTTTTGTATTTGAGTTTTTGATTATTCCTTCTGAGGGGTAGCATTTGTCCGCATTGAACTTCATCCTGTTAACTTCAGCCGAGCTTTCCAATCTGTCAGGATCTTTATAAAATCCACTGCCATCCTCCAACATGTTCACAGTCCTTCCTAGTTTTGTGTCATCAGCAAACTTGCTTAGGAAACTTTCTCTACCAGCATCCAAATCATTAATAAATGCATTGAATAGCACCTGGCCCAGGACCGATCCATGTGGGACTCCACTTGAAAACTTCTGCTGTCCTGGCATGGATCCATTAATAATTACCCTTTGCTTGTGGCTACTGAGCCAGTTGTCTGTTCACTTTATAGTAGGTTTGTCCACTCACGTTTTACCAGTTTGTTTATGAGAAAGTCATGTAGGCCTTGTCAAAGGTGTTGCTGAAATCCAAATACACTATACAGGCAGTCCTCGGACTTACGACACAGTTGGTTCCTGAAAATCGCATCTTGAGTTGAAACGTAAGTCAAGTACTGCCTGTATCCACAGCATTGCCTTCATCCACCCAAGTAGTTACATTGTTAGAGAAGGTTGTTTGTTTGACACCTTCATGAATCCATGCTGGCTGCTTGTAATCAGCCTTTCCTCCTTCAGATACTTGCAAATGGACTTCTTAGGATATGTTCCAGTAAGTTCCCTGGCATGGAGGTGAGGCTAACTGGTCTGTAGTTCCCCAGGTCCTCTTTTTTGCCTTTTTTTTTAAGTAGAAGTATTCTTATTTTTAGTCTGTCTGATCATGGGTGATTGGTGCCATCTTACTCAGCAGGGGCACATGTCCCCCCAGCAACCAGTCAGTGACTGGGGGGGTTCCCCCACGGCCAATCTTCACTTGCCAGCTTCCAGAAGTGGCTGCAGCACTCCCACTCCCTGGCTGGCGCTCACAGGGGGGGCACCAGTGCTCCTGCCAGCCCCCCTGCCCATCGCCTAAATGGGGAGCACAGCCTGTCAGAGGGTGCACCAGCGCTCTCAGGGTGTGCACATGCACCCCCTATGTATTGCCACCGTGTCTGATGTTGAGTTTTCAGAGAATGTGCGCAGTAAGTTGATTAAAGTTCAGTAAAGAGGTATCTGCCCAAGGTAGGATTTATATGTGGTTTTCTACCATTAGCTGAGTGCATTTATATTGTATCAGGAAGCGATTCACAGAACCTATGTGTGTCACCCTCTCTTTAATCGCCTGTCTTCTTAATTTGTCTTTGTGTTTTACTGTTTACAGGGGTCTGATGAGACCATTCGAGTTGTGTCTATGGACAAGGATTACCATGTGGAGTGTTATCACTGTGAGGTGAGTCACCAGTAGGGGAATGAGTGTGTAATTAATAAGTACCATTTTAGAGCAAAAAAATAATCCATGCGTCTGGGAATGCAGCAGATCAGCCACTGAAATATCTGTTGTTTAAATCCCTGCTGCAAATATCAACTGCGGGGAAAGGCCCAGCATAAGGGCATTTACAAGGACAATGGTTTCCAAGGATAGGTCTAAACTCTAATGTAGTCTAACCTGTAACATTCTGGCCAGATTAATTTTTGCTTTTGGTTTAGAAGGTTTTCTTTCCTAATAAAGGAAATGTGGCAGATTCTCAATTTCTGATGAGTTTTTGTGCTGCTTTTTTAAAAGCTTGGAGCTTCAGATCATGTTAGTGTATCTGATTTCCAAGTCAGATTATTTTGAAATACTAAGGTAGGGCCTGATCCTCTAACAAATGCAAGCTACCTTGGCTCTTGCTGAAGTCAGTGGGAATTGTGATGGCTCAGTGGGTGATCAGATCCTGAGAGAGATTTGTCTTTTAGCCATCAAGTTTTGTCCCCATACCCATTAGCTCACCATCCCAAGATCTCTCAGTATTCCTACTCCATGGGCATTTTCCCCCCCCTCAAAATCCATGACCTCTTTCAATAACGCTGATTTAGCTCCTGTGGTGGAAGCATAGAGTTAGATGGAGCTTCAACAGACCTGGGCATCTTCTTCCCATGTCTACTCCTTTGACTAGGTTTAGTTGATGCCCTGGCTGTCTAAATTACCTGTCACAACAGGCACAGAACCACATTGGTGGTAGTGTGAGAAATGGCTCTGATTCATCAGTGCAGTGTTGCATAGGCCTAATTCCATTAAATAAAATGGAATAATATATATAGTGGTAAATCTGTCAGACAAGACTTTTAAATCCTTCCAATTTCAAATGTCTTGGGGCATGACTCACCATAGGATCAAAGAAAGTAATTAAAACTACTTAAAGAAACTAGCCTTACTGTGCAGAAGGTTGAGGTTGTCAGATGCTTGTGATAGATGCTTTTTTGCCCTTGAAAAATCTAGGTACTAGGGACTTATTGTGATGAAAGCTATCAAATCTCGAAATGCTCACCAGGGAGTTGACCTCTTAAATAGTGGCATCAGACATTTTGCCATCCTTTTGCTAGAAAAGATGGCCTTGAGCATGAAAGAGCACATTTCAATAGCCATTGTGATTTTTCTCTCTCTCTCTGTAGGATTGTGGGATGGAACTAAATGACGAGGATGGGCATCGCTGTTACCCGCTAGAGGATCATTTGCTTTGTCACTCCTGTCACCTGAAGCACATAGAGAAGGGCACGACTCCCTCCCCTGTGTACCTGCATCACTACTAGTTGGCACTGCACATTTGTTGGAAGCCTGTCAGACAGTGCATGTTTATCCCTAGTTGATTTCCAGCCCACATTTTCCCCAATCAGCAGTTTTTGCAGTTGGAAGATAAAGAGGCTTTTAGTTACATTTGCAAGGACTGTGTGCATGTGAACTCTTCCCTGTGTCACATGATGTCCATCCGAAACAAGAACATGGAACATTATCCAGCTGGTCATCTTTTTTTCCCCCAAAAGGCATTTTATTCACTTGGGAAGATTTTTCAGTAAAAGCACAGCTCTCCATCAACATCAGTGAGCTTGTAACATGCCATGCACAATTAATGAGCCACAGACCTGCTGGGAACATTTCTTCAGGCTTCTAAGTGGTTTCTGACAAGCACATTTCATTGAATCCCTTGAGGATATCAACTTATTAATACTGACTCTTTGACTTCCCTTTTTAAGTTTTCAAAAAAAGTTTAATGCACAAAAGCACATCCAGACCTTTCATTTGCTACCCAGAGCTCTGGTATCAGCTAGGTTGTGAAATAATTGTGACATAGGAAGGTGATTTGCCACTTGGCTACTGAATTTCCACATCCCAAAGATTATTAAAAACAAACCCCACACACAAAACAGCAAACCGGAGCAAACTCTATTAAGGCATCTTGGCACGTGTCCCTGTATTACTGCTTGCTTATTAGCAGGATACATATGGATCAGCTTCTATAAAGTCTGACTAGTGGATTACAGTTGGAAAGGTCTAGATGCCAAAAGTATCTGAGAGGGAAATCCACCTGCCTTTCTGTCTTGCAGAGGTCAGTTTAAAAAAGAGCTTGGTGCCTCCAGCAGCCTGCGTAAGCCTTTCATTTTGTTCCTGGAGCTCAGATATCAGCATTGCTGTGAAATAGGTATGAGTCAGAAAGGCCTGGTATTTAGTTCTAAGAGC